ACAGCATCTTGAAAGGAGATGTCATGCAAGATCATCTTCCTGAGGCGCTTGGGGGCACAAGGCAGAGGGCTGAGGCAAGTCAAGCCTTGCACAGGCAGAGAATGTGCATCAAAGAGTCATCCATGCTGCCACCACAGGAGACCGCACCCTGCCCTGGTTGCAGGCCACCACAAGAAGCTGGCCATCCTTCAGGTGCTTCATGCCCCATTCAGCCGTCTTCCTCCACCTTAAGGGCAACAGGGCAGCAAGACACAACGCGCACATCTAGGCTGAAGTTTTGATGGGCAACCTTTCAAAAGTCCAGCAACCACAACTTCATCAAGACTCGAACTTCAATCTTGGCTGGCTTGCTGAGTATTTTTCCGTGCACTATGCATGACCAGCCAGATCAGTATTCTTTCCCTGGCCACAAAATGTTTCAGACTCTTAACCCATTGACAAGCAGACCCAGGCCCGACGAACGCAAATTTCAAAATAAACGGCAGGGGGGAGTCAAACCCCCAATGATTACCATGTACGATATCTTCCATACGGGCAGAGGCGGCCATGGTCTCATGCAAGCCCCAGAACACATTTGATGGCCTAGGCATAAAGATTATTTTAGGGGCACCCATGCCTTGGAAAGCCAAAGGCATGGACCAAGATTCTAAAATATTGGGCCCAAAGCCACAAGTCCCTGTACTGAATGCCAGAAGCATGGGGGAAGACCTTATGGCCTTCTGAATTCTGACTTTCCAATCTGTTGAAGGGCTTTGAATAGGCTTCAAAGGGTGTTTTGGGGCCAAGGTGAACCATTGCAGGGAGCAAGTTTTGGACCCGGGTAGTCACATGGCCCAGTTGCCCAATGGGTGAGGCGTTGCCCACAGCCCCCCAGCTATTGCAATTGCAGCCAAGCTGGCTGGCTGGCTCGCCACTTCATCCAATTTGGATTGGCTGCCAAGAAGGGGATGTTGTACTTGGAAAGGTGGTCTGCCCACCACTGGCCATTCCTCTAGAGTCGCAATGACCAAGAGTGCACAACAAACAGCAACATAGCACCTGGCTGGCTCTGCCAAACTGGCCCTGAACTGCCAACAGCAAAAGGACTGCAGCAGTTTGTGTCCACCTAACCAAACAGCCAGGGAGCTCTTTCTTCTGGCAGTTGAGAATGGCCACCGGCACATTGTCAAAGTCGAAGTCTGGGAACATCTTGTCCGGGTCAAACTTATCCATGGGCCCCACAAACACGCATTGTCCGCAATCTGTGAAGCCAGCGTCCTCAAGCTCCTGGTCAGGAGCAGACAAGGAGCATGGTTGGTGGTTGCGTGCGCCTGCCAGCCCAATGCAAGCTACAGTCATGTTTAAGCTGGGGGCAAGTACTGTGTTCTGAGGCAAGCTCCTGTGGGATCTGCTGTGCCTCCTGTGGGATCTGCGTGCCTCCATCACCCCAGACCCCAGGACTCATCCTTCTCCTGCCAAAGTAAGCCAAGCTGATTCCTTGTCCCCATTACTGCATTCAGCAAGAAGTGTGCACCAGGGCTAGTGGTGGCCTATCCCAAACTTCATGAAACAGAGCGGGCTTACCTTTATTTCTTTCAACTTGGCGGTTGGTTCGTTCCTACAAAGAAGGTCCTCTGAGTCATCCTCAGCTGCTGCCTGGGCCTCCTCGGGCGCTGCCTGGGCACATGCTCATCCAGGCATGGAAGGAAGGCAGGCACAAGGACAAGGAAGTGGCCTCCTCACGCAAACAATGAATACCAGACTTTGGCAGCCCAGAGCCCCTGCCTTGGGCCTCTTGGCCACAGGCATACTCTTGGCAGCAGGTGCGGAAGGCCTCTTCTTGGAAGCAGGCTTGGTGGCCCTGGTGGCTGACAGTTTGCCACCAATGGGTGGAGGGCCAGTGGCTGGCTGACGCAGGCCAGAGGTGGCTTGGATGCAGGCCTGAAGGCTTGCTGGCCTGAGGCAAGTTTGAGGAGGCGAGGCGTGTGTGCATGTATGTGTGTGTGTGTGGCAGAATTTTAATGACACACTTACTTTTTAGCCACTGATGGTGGGGCATGTGCTATCCCTTGTTCAGTCAACGGCCTGGCATTGGCACATGTGGCTTGTCACTTGTCATTCAGTGTTGTAGCATGTGGAGAGTCAGGTGGCTGTGGAGAGCCAGGCCTGGAGGGCCGGCAAGCCTTCGCTGCATCAGGCCAGCAGGCCTCAGGCCAGCAGGCCCCCAGGCCTGCATCAGGCCAGCAGGCCTTCAGGCTGCTCCTCCGCAGGCGGCTCCTCATACTCCTCCCCATGCTCCTCTTCCAGATATTCCTCTGCCTGCATTTGAAAGGCACCAAAAAGCAAGCACCTGAGACATGCCAAAGCCTCTTGCTGCTCCTGCAATGCTAAGGCTCCAGTCCAGGAATTCCAGGCCTTTTGATGCTCCTTCCAAGAAGCACCCAAGAAACACCATCAAAGCTGTCAGCCAGTCTCAGTGTTTAACAGACAATGAATGATTGCTTACTTCTTCTCCCCAACGCAAGATGACAAGGAACCAATGATGACGATGATGGTGATGATGATGATGATGATGATGATGATGATGATGATGATGATTAGTGATGATGATGATGATGATGATGATGATGATTAGTTATGATGATGATGATGATGATGATGATGATGATGATGATGATGACGGTGGTGGGGGTGATGATGATGATGATCTACTGAATCCCGTTCCTTTGCCTGTTGAGGCGGGGCAGGAGGTTGATGACCCATCAATGCCCTCTCCTTAGCCAAGCAGGACAAGGCTTCAGAATTGTGCCCTCAGCAAAGAAGTTCCTAGATAGGCAAATGCCAGCAGCTGAGAAAAGCACCAGCCGGTTCCTGGCTGCTCGCACTTGATCCTCAGTTAGCCCCCACACACACGCGCATTCTCTCTTTTGGCACACGCACATTTATGACTGTCATGTTCTTGCCAATTTTGTCTGGCGTCTCTGGCAAGCTGGCAGGGTGGCTTCCTTCTTGTGCCAACCTCATTCTGGTTCTGAATGATGTAGAGGTTGTTCACATCACAGCCAACAGCCCTTGAGCCTACACCTGCTGCATCACAGAGATCAAGCAACTTGCTTGCAGCAGCCCTGAACCACAACTGCAACCACATCTTGCTGGCAAATCCAAGAAAATCAAGAGGCACCAGTAAGAGAAGTGCAAGATTGCATGGGGGAGCTAACGATACAGAGCTTGCCAAAGGATGACGGCATTCACAATGGCACATGAGTTTTGATGAAAAGATAGCCCCTTACTGTTACCAGCAATTGTTCCTTGTCAAGACTCAGCAACACTAAAAAGTAGAACCCCCTGCAATAACATACACCCAAAATCAAGGCGCTTGGAATGCAAGCGCTGTCGGCTGGCTTGTCTGGGCCCAAGGCAGGTTGGATAGCATGTTCAGTGCACTGAGGATGGTCTGAGGCACCAACAGGCAAGCAACCTGAGCATGGCTGATGGAACCCCTCATGAAGAGGCTAGGGTGGGTTGCAGCCATGCCTTGGAAAGCCAAGGCATGGAGGGGCAAGGGTAAAGGATAGCTTGGTAGGTCAGGGGAGCTCAAGCTTCTGATTGCAGAAGCACTAGGCCAAACAGCATTTTGTTGTTGACATCAACGCTCCATTGGAATATGTTTTTGCAGCCATTTCACAATGACAGATTGTTTATGGACCAGCCCATGGGTACTGTCAGAATTTGAGCCTTGGCTGGGTGGCAGAAAAGCAGGTCGGTCAGACATCTCACCTGTGGGCTTGAACGTTTTCTTGTTGGAAACAGCTGCCATCAACCACACACACACAGAGTGTTCCCTGATTATCCACTGGGTTGTCCCTGCATCTTTGGTGCTGATTGAATTTCTTGGGCGGGACACTCCAAGACATGAGGAGCAATGAGTGCCCTGAGGGCTTAGCAAAGTTCCAGAGAAACAGTTGGCAGTTTGAAATACTGGAGGCTACCCAAATTCAGCAGTGGCCAGAACAGTACATTGAATTCACTTAGTGCTGTTTGGAATGGCATGTTAGCCCAGCCCTCTGCCCAGCCAGCCTTTGCACTGCCTAGAAAGCTGTGCGCAGACCTCAGTCAGACCTCAGTCAGTGTCTGAACCTTAGTATGCAGCAGGCTCCGCTCTGCTGGGACCTTGGTGAACTAAGCCTTAGTATTGCAGGGTTTGAGCCTTAGTGTCCTGCTGCCCCTTTTTGCGGCGACGGCAAGTGTGCAAATGCAGCATGGCTGCAAGTGAAAGCATGGAGCTGACTGAAGCTTCATTTCAATTTGACTTTTGGTGCTATGGTCAAATGGAAACTTAGGACCAGAAATTTCTGAACGCCACTTCCCAGACACCTTGCAGCCTACACTTTGCCCACCTGCTCCCTGACAACTATACATGTCCCATGCTTGCAAAGTGTTCTTGTACATCCCTTCCTGTAAATCCAGGGCTCAAACAACCATGTGATGCATTTAAGATTAAAATTCACCATGAAGCTTTGGGATTCAGTTATTGCTGCAAGTAATCTTGTGCTTCAATGCTGCAAAGAGAACCAATCACTATTTAGCTTCATGATGTTGAACAGCAAGTTTGAAAAAGGTGGCCCCAATGCGAATGACATCTCAGGTGATGAACTAGCAGGTCCTGTGTTTTCCAAATGGTTGTGCCCTCTGTGCTGGCAAGTACTTTTCAGTTGTTACAGTTCTAAAGCAAAGCAGGGGTATGGACCACTAGGCCATTCAATATTGCAGTCTTGGTGCAGGCTAAAGTGCCCCATGACCATCCTCCCTGTCTGGCCAGGCCTGCTTGGTCATCTTTACCACGCGCCCAAAAAAAAGGTGCGCTTTTCAGCGCTACCCGCTTTTCAGCGGTGCCTATGTTTTTACCCTCTCCCTCCCTCCCTGTGAACTGCTGCTCCAAGTATTCCATGAAGTAGTCCGAGCCACAGTGCAGGGGGTGGGCACAGGGAAGGGTTGGGATGTGGGCACAGGGAAGGGTTGGGATGTGGGCAGGCAAATGTAACTGTGGGGGGGGGGGGGACATCCTTGAAGAGTGGGAAGTGAGACAGTTGGAGGGCATGTGGCACATGAAGAAAGGACACCTTGGAAGTGGGAGGGTGGGTGGAAGTGGGAGGGTGGGAGGGTGGAAGTGGCATGTTGATGAGGAATGATTGGCATGCCCTGCCCCCCCCCAACCTCAAATCATGGGCAAACACTGGTATCTTAGAATGTTGGTGCCTGTATCTTAGTTCCATTTCTTCTGGTTTAAGGGTCAATTTGGGCGGGATCCGGGATCGCCGTGATCAAAGTACCTTCTGGAAAGGGAGAACACAAGAAGCACAAGAGGAGTACCTTCTGTAAAACTGGAAGTTTTGGTCAACAACACGATGCGAAAACCATGACCCAACTGCGCTACTTCCATGCAAGTCTAACCTGCATCTGAAATAATTCGTGGGCATCTGATTGAATGCAGCCAATACACGGTTTCGACTGGTTTCAGCTCTGTTCTAATCTGAATGCAGTAGTGCCATTTTTTCCAAAAGGACACCAACGTTTGGACCCACGCACCCTTGGTTTACCGAGGGCGAGGCGCGGGAGCTGCTGAAGGTGACGAGCCTCTGCTGGCAGGGCGCCTTTGCGCCTTTGACGAGCGAGGGGGAGCTGCTCGTGGACGGTGCCTTGGAAGAGTTGAATCGATGGATAGTGGGGGTTGCTTTTTTCCCCACTAACATAGCATCTGGCAGGGTGTTTGTTTTGAAGAGGAAACTGGTCCGGGGAGCCTCCCACAGCTGCTATGTTAGTGGGAGGGAGTGTACCCTCAAACACTTGGTATTCTTAGACATACAAGTCGAAACAGGCTATGCTCTTTTTGTCGGGAATTTTCAGGGGGACATAGAAGGGTACATCTGCATTTCAAATGGATGCCCAATTATCGAATGGTTGCAGCTGCAATGGTGTTTCTGTGGTGACGCTGGTGGTTGTTCTGGCATCGTATCTGAGCATCCACTTGCAACGCTATCAGTATTTCATTCATACGGCTGCGTGCATCCGTGTGGTGTGTATCCCAGCCTGAAATGTTAGTTGTAGACTTTCTGGTGCATAACTGCTTGCTATGTTCTTGAGCTGCTTACGCTGTTTGAGCAAGCAAGTTGGGTGCATGTGTGACATTTGCATGGAGGCAGGTGGCTTTTCAATGTACCGTGTGCATCTAAATGTGTGGCGCCTAAGCCCGAAAGCGGAGGCCACTGGCTTTACTGGCTCAAACAGAGGGCAACAGTGCAATGGCGCAGCAGTAATGTACTTCATAAACACTCCATATACTCACACACAAATCGGCTCAAGATTGAGGTGAAATAGTCAACTTGCGCACGAAGCCATGGGTCTTGCTTTCACAAAGATATGGCAGCGGCTGATCGGCAAGCAGGAAATGCGCATCCTGATGGTCGGGCTGGATGCTGCAGGTAAGACCACCATCCTGTACAAGCTGAAGTTGGGTGAGGTAGTCACAACGATCCCAACAATTGGCTTCAACGTCGAAACTGTGGAGTACAAGAACCTGTCCTTCACTGTATAGGTCGCCTGCTCCAGCACATGCTCAGGATGGAGTGTGGTTTTCAACAACGTGGTGGCCCGCGTAGGCTTGCGCTCGCTGCTCAGCTGGATCGCCTCAGCACGCTTTCTGACCCATTGGTTGCGGAACTTTTCCTCCTCCTGAGTGCGCACTCTCCAACGCTCAATTCTCTGGGATTTCTCGTGGTCATCCTGGTCCTCAACGAGGTCCTGGAAGATCTCAGTGTACCTTGCTGACTCTTGCCAGTTGAAGAATTTCATCTCTTCAAAACCCGACTTTAGGGCCGAGATGTCCATCTCGATCTTTCTGCGAAGTCTGGGGTTGTGGCCCTGTTCCTTGTGGAAATGTTGCAATCTCCTCACTAGTCGGCGGAGGCGTCTCAACTTGGCTGACTCGGGCTCCAACGTAACCTTGTGCCCTAAGTTCTTCATGTGAAAAACCGGGGGGCGCGATCGAGGGTTTATTCCCAGTGTGCCTGCGCACAGACAGCGCTCGGCTGTATCGGACAGCAACTCCCACGCCTGGTCCAACTGTGTGCGCCGCAGCATCTCGTGAAAGTGTTGTGGCGCCCATGTGCTGTGGAACTTCGCCAGGATGTCCTGTTCAGAGTCATCTTTAATGGGGCATCGCGGGCGAACACAAAGTCCATGGGCGCTGTAGCACATGTCGAGGTCATATCCCACCAGGTTGTGGTCAGCCAATCCTGCACACTGAAATGTGGCTGAAGGCCAAATCCCATGTCCCATAGCGAAATCGATGCGTCGTGTGCCAGAGCACGTGGGAGGTAGTCGCGCTTCAACTTCAAATTCAGTATCAAAGCATCTTGCCATGCCTGTGCTGAAAATGGAAGCCATCTCATCAGAAGTGAGATTCCAGTCTCCCAAAGCAATCCATGGCAAAGCAAACTGACTCATGGCCGTTGCAACTTGAGTGGCCATTTCTCTGGCCCGTGGCACGTCTGCAACGGGTCCATAGCAGCATGCGACACAGAACTTGAAGTACGAGTGTCGAAGCTTGACTTCGCACAACATGGCACACACTCTGTCCTCCTCCACGTCAATCTGCAAGGGAAGCCACCTTGTAGGAAGACGTGAAATGAGCGCCACCCTGTGGAGCCCTTGTGGGTTTGCCTCTCCACTGATGTACTCGTAGCCCAGAGTCCGCCACTGTTCAACCAGACCAGGGAGCGATTCTGCATTAACATTCATCTCCTGCAAGGCGACAATGTCCATGTCGCGAGCCAAGTGGTGGATTGCCGGTGTTTTTGCAACTCCAGCTTGTCGCACATTTAGCGTGGCAACCTTGACTTGGAACTCCGTCATGACGACTGTTTGGAAACGTCTGCTCTCTGCACGAACTCAATGGCAACATCGAACAGTTTGCCGACCTGATCCTTTTGGAATCCAGCCATTGCAGGGTGCCGCTGCTCGAGCATAATGATGGCCCTCTTCTTGTGATCCTGCAAGGCTTTCACACTCCTAACCACGTCAGCCCTGCGCTTTCCACACAGGTGTGCCTCCGCGGCTTTCATCTTCTGGAAACAATGGTGGCAAGCCTTGCATGCCCATGCCCTCCTCGCACTGAATTGGACCTTGGCTACCTTGTCCTTCATCTTCTTCAAGACAGGCCAAGTAAAGGACGTCCACTTACTGAGCTTTTCAGGGTCGGAGTGCCTTGGCAAGGAAGCGTTCAAGCCATTCACTCTACTCTTCATCCGGCTTCCATTGTCCCCGCCCGCATGAGCTTCTGGACCCGGGACCACCTCTTGGTCGTGATGCGCGGGTGCCGCTCGCTGCGGTGAGCCTTTGCAGCGGTGTAGACGCGCCCTTCCGTGCACTCATCATTCTGCAGGATCCCCGAATTGCAGAAACCACACTTCCAAGCCAGCTGCCCGACCTATATGTGGAAGCAAGTGTGGCAACGAGAGGCAATTGACTCTGCGGCTTTCCAAGACATGTTACGGCAGGTGGATCCACCGTCAGACTCAGGGGACGACCTGCTGGACCCGCAAGCTCAAGAACTCCAAGCACTTGCAAAGACAATGGTGGGTCGGGCCGCAGGGCCGGACACGTGGACAAGCGAACAAGTGCTCCGCCTCCCAGACCAATGGTGGGAGGGTTTTGCGCAGTTATGGACAGCAGCCATTCGAGCCGGCAAAATTCCACAAGCATGGAAAGATGGCAAGATTGTACTGCTGGACAAGAAGGAGGCAGGGGACACCAGGCCAATCGGTTTGTCTGCATTGGCATGGCGCATAGGCGCCTAATGGATGGTGAGGAAGCTGCGGCCGTGGACCCGACAGTGGTTGGACGACACAGTTCTCGGCGGTGTATTTGGTTCGTCGGTCTCGGACGCTCACGCGTTCATCAACCACGATAACACCGAAGACATGATCTTCGTCTCGCAGGATCTCACAAAGTTTTTCGATTGCATCGACTACCATCAGCTTTTGCAATTGTTGGAGAGGATGAAAATGCCCACTGCCTTTCGCAATGTGTACATGGACTTCTACGCCAACGCTAGGAGGTTCCTGTGTTACAAGGGAGCAGTGACAGGAGAGTGGATTAGTCCCGGAAGGGGGCTCATGCAAGGATGCCCGCTTTCCCCGCTAGCGGCAGCCTGTTTCATGCGCATCTGGAGTAGCCAAGTCGTCCGGCAGGGGGTCAAGGCCCTCAGCTTCGTGGACGACAGACTAATGAGGGCGAGACGACGAGATGTTCACCAATTGCTTGCAGCCAAACGAAGCAGTGACCTCTTCGACCAAGCGTGTGGGTTTGTGCGCCGTTCCTCGAAGTGTGCTGTTGCTGCTCAGCCGTCCCAGGAGGCGGACATGTTGGCTCACAATTTTCACTACGTCTTGAGTGACAAGCTGACAACCCTTGGCCTGATTCACACCGTGGGGAGTCCTGGAGTCATCGAGTTTGCCAAGGATGTGGTCCACAAGGCCACAGCCAGAGCTACGTGCATCAGTCACCTCTCAGTCACTGTGAGAAGTCGACGAGTTCCACCAAACACTACAGGCAGGAATCCGACACCACTGCCGCCGTCCCCGGTGGATTGATGATGTTTCCCTAGATGTGGCAGCCCTCCCCTGGCAGCAGTTTGTTCCGGCAGCACAACAGGTGCTCGACGAGTTGGGATGGTGGACTGACAATCTGGGTGCAAACATCTGGCGCCGAGATAGCCATGGTCAGCTTCGATGCTTCCAGGTTGGCGCTGATAACCCCCACATTGTGCATGAGTGGATCAACGACCACATGCGGAGCAGTGAACTGCGGACTTTGTGGTCGGGTCACAAAAGCGTATCATAGAGAGGACGACGACAACTTGGCTCGTGGACTTGCTCTCCCCGGGCCACCGGATGGCACTCGATGCTTTTTCGCGGGGCGCAAGCTGGTCTGGGAAGATGCCGACAACTCAGCGCTCCGGCGCTCTGCCCTGGCCACTGGATGCTCTGTGTGGTATGAGTTTCCAGGATGCAGGGCGCACGCAGCCGACCCCCGGGCAGTGTGCCTTTGTGGACAGACAATGCCATCTAGGCCACATCTGGTATGGCAATGCTCTGAAACTACTGCTCACCGGTCTGGCATCAGACCACCTTGCGACAGGGCTGAGGAGCGTTTGTTTGCCCGAGCTCTTCCTGAGTACCCCATCGCCCCAGAGGGCGACGCACCAGCGGATGTGCAACGTCAAGTTGCGGATGCTTTGCTGCGTTCAGCTGAAACAAATGGACATTTGGTTGTAGCCACAGATGGTTCTGCTGAACATGGAATTGCTGCCTTCGCTTTGGTTTTTCCTGGAACCGATGCAACGTTGACTGCGGGGAACCTTGGGGAGGACCAGAAGGCCTTCCGAGCCGAACTCGAAGCCATTAGGATGGTCATTGGTGGAGCGTTACTTGCGTCAGCTCAGCATGAAGGCCCAAGCTGGCGCCTCGTCATAGTGACAGATTGCTTATCTGCTATGCAAGTTGCTGAGGGATCGACTGGTAACTGCCCTATTCTGGCGCGTCAAGTTCAGCGCGCTCTAAGGGAGCTTCGCTGCAGTGTTGAAGTGCAATTCGTGTGGGTGCCTTCTCATGGAAAGAAATCCGCCCATTTTGTGGGCCATCCTGCTTTCCTTGAGGCACAACTTCGTGCCTGGAATGCCAGGGCAGACAGATGTGCAAAGCAGGCCATGCAGGCAAGAAGTGCTGGTTCAAACCGGCAAGGATGGCATGTGGGCTTGTACCTGGGAGACCCAGACTATCCAAGCCGTCGCAGCTATAAGTTTGCAATATGCTGAGCATGCTCAGCAGCTGAAGCGATTCAAACCCGGGCCTCCAGGACTTTGGCATCCTGTGGTCCATCAAATACTCCTTCTTCTCCTGTCCTTCACTGTGTGGGATGTGGGCGGTCAGGACAAGATCCGCCCCCTGTGGCGCCACTACTATCAGGGCACCAACGGTCTCATCTAGCTGAATGAGGATGAGATGCGCGACGCCGTGCTGCTGGTCTTCGCAAACAAGCAGGACCTGCCAAATGCGATGACCGCAGCTGAGATCACGGAGAAGCTTGGGCTTCACCAATTGCGGCACCGCCAGTGGTTCATTCAGTCAGCTTGCGCGACCACAGGTGACGGTCTGCACGAGGGTCTGGACTGGTTGTCGCGCACGCTTTCTTCTAAGCGCTGAGTTGACGTTGAGATGGACAGGGGTGTGTCCTTATGTAGTGGATGCATCCCACGCGGGATTGAGGCCAAGCTGCCCGTAGTCCAGTTTTGCGGGGTCACGTCCTAATGTAGCGTGATGTGCTCCCAGATTTGCATGCCTTCAAGACTTCAAAAAACGTACTCACGCGTAAATTGGCACAATCGTTTCCTTTTCGTATGCATAATCTTCTCCATCGTCGATTATGACCAAGCAACACTTTCTGTTTCAAAGGCTGTTGCTTCAAATGGATGTTCTTCAAGCCCTCGCGGAGCGGTCTCAACACTTGCCGGTCTCCAAGCAATGACAGAGATCCCTTTGCAAGCCAACAAACGCCCGGAAATCGATGCCCTGGTAAGCGCCGAAGCACCGAAAGCGCAGGCTTCAGGCGCTCTTGCTTTGCACTGCGCTGGGCAGTGTCCCACGAGCTCTGCCAAGCTGCGCTGCTTGACTCAAATGGGGAGCCAGTCAGAAGCGGGGGCTGGGGGTGGGTGTGCGGGCGGGTGTGGGGTGACTTACGACTGAGTGATGACTTGGGTTTGGCCACCCTGCAAAGTTTTTAACTGTGGGATGAGCCTTCAGTACTGATTGGACACGGTTTTTTGCCATGAAATAGAATTCCATTCGCTTTCCTATTTTCCAACATTCTGTCAACACGCAAAAGACCAAGGAGAGATCTGTCTGAATCTTCTGTGAAAATCCATCTTTCTGCTGATGCAGAGAATTGCCACTGTTGTATTCTGGTGTTTGAACAGACGTGTAACTTCATGGCCACCCCCACAAGGCTTGCAGAATAACACGTGGGGACATGGTTTGCAGGCCTGGATTTCTCTCTCTATCTGACTGGGATATGGTCAAGGTTTTGAACCGACGAGGTCTTGTAACGGTGGCAGTTCACATGCTCAGGCGTCTCTCATGAGACTTGTTGATCGGTATTGCAGGCTTCGGATATGTACCTCTGACTGTGCCCAGAGTGCAGATGGGGATGATAGTTCTAGCACGAGGTTTGCGTTGTTCAGCATGATGTTGTCCAAACAGTCACAAGCGGGCACATACTTGCTAGCACAGCAAGGATAAGGTGCTTTGCCGGAATAGGCGCTGCGACTCGTGGGAACCTGCAGTACTATGGATGGGGATAATGAATGCTGTGCACACTCAGCACGAAGACAACGGACATTGCTGAGCAAGTCGAGTAGTCGAGTTGTCGCGGTCTCAAATTCAGTCGTTCAGTATCTGCACAGGGCACGTTGAGCCCTTGTTTTTTTACATGTCCACATCATTTGATCATTTGGTTGTGGTTGCACCTGTTGGACTCCACTGGACGTTGGACTGAGCTGTTGGCTGCTCTCACGTGTTGGAACCAAGCTCCAGGTTCGCGCCTTTGCGGCTGGCCCAGGAAGCCGCTCTCCGCATCCAGGCTGCGGAGGCTCGGGTGCCAGCCCTCAAATGCCAACTGGTGAGTTACAAAGCGTTTTTTCTTTTTGATGTGTCGGACCGGAAGGTTGGCAGTCCCTTTTTTGATTGGCAAGTTGTTTTCTGCTGTTCTCCTCATCAACGGCTGTTGACAAGCATAACCTTTTTGTTCTACAGGTTTGCTTGTATGACTTATCAACGTCATTGCTCGTGAAACCAATCATCACGGTGAATTACATGCCCTTGTTGGGCCTGCCAGAAGGTGATCTTCATTGCGTTTATCAATTGAAGGTGCACTCAGCCCCTTCAATTCACGGGTGCACCCGAGCATTGTGGGGCTGGTCGGGGTTCAAAAGGGCGGCATCCTGGTAAAAGAAAGGGCCACTGCACGCCTTGAATCATTCCAAAAACCACAGTTATGCAAACATAGGGATTGCGCCAGCTTTTGGGCTTTGTTTCTGAGCAGGTAAGCGGACGGCTGATTTCCGGTCTTTTGATTCACATGTGTAAGAAAAAGTGCCGGCAATGTGCTACCACTAGGACACAACTCTTGCAAGCATGGTCAGTCAGACTTCAGAATTGTGTTTTTGGCATAATACTCAAACTTGCGAATGTCAGTGTGGATTCGATGCCATGGGTGTCTCTTTTTTTTTTGAGGGTACCCTTTTTGGGGCTTTTTGGGGTGAAGCCACTCACTTTGGTCCATCTATTTAGAGACAGACCCCCAGGCCCCGAGCCACTTGGGCCACCCATCGGCCCAGGAGGGCAAGCCGGACACGACCTCGCGGGTGCTGGGCTCCCTCTGGTCGGCGGCCGAGGACATCTTCCTGTTCTACCACCAGGCAGGACGAGTGACTGGGTTAGGCAGTTACCCCTTTTCCATGGAAGTAGGTTCCGCGGATTCCCTAAGGTAGTCTTCCAAGAACCCTCGCGTCAGCTTCCATGGTTGGAGGGAGGGTAGGCCAAGTAACATGAGCAAGGCCCACAATCTGGAGGCTGTTCCTATGCTCATGTATTTAGCCACCGATGGAAGGATTCACTGGGAGAATTGCCAAAATAAGGCTCCGGTAAAGGTCCTAAAATAAAAAACAAAAAAAACCCAACTAATAAACAAAAAAAAAAAAAAAAAAAACAAAAAAATAAAACAAAAAAACGATAACACAAAAAAAGAAAAACACAAAAAAAAAAAAAAAAAAAAAAAAAAAAAAACAAAAAAAGGGGTTTTGTTTTACCCCCTCTGACAGGGCTTTTTTTGGCTCCGGTAAAGGTCCTCTAATCGAATGTTGCGCGTGTGCCCAGAGGGAAAGTGGCATTGATTCCGTTTCCTTGGCTGTACCAACCGCCATCCTGCTGCGCAGGTGATCTGATGTGAGAAGGCCGCTGAAGTGATTGCCCTGCCCGTGGGATGACACGTCTCATGATTCACCAGCAAGCATGACATGTGTGGGTCGCTTAATTCAAGAGATCGATAGATCGCACTCCTTCCTGAGGCTGTTTGATGATCCAAGAAAGGTTTTGCAGAGATCTCTCCAGCCTAACATGAGCCAGCGCATTTGCTCTGAGCACAGCATCAATCACACTGGGTGTATCAACTCGGGCAAAGCAAAGCACACGCGACGGCCCCATGGGACTCGGTGGAACTCGGCCGGTACCCGCGGTCTTCAAATGCAGAGACAAATGTCAATAGGCTTGGCGGCTTGGCCTGTGATTCTGATTCTATGAAAGCACTGTCAGTACTCAGAGCAATGGCTGATGGACGGGCACTTTCGACAAGTTCATTTTTGCTGTATTGTTCCTTGGGCTTTTCCATAGATCCACATCCAGGGCTGGGCCGGGCAGAGTTGGAATGGGAGCGCAAGATTGCTACAGGCGATGAGCCCAAAAGATGATCTTTCAAAGATTAAGACTCGAGCGCAACTTCTGACCCTTGGCGATGTGCTAGACTTTTAAGGAACACAATTGCGAGCCTGTGAATCTGGGGTAAGCATCTTTATCCGTCCGGAGTGACAACCCTGAGTCCGCGGAGCAACTAGCCCCAACAGGGGGAGAGGCAACAACAACGAAGAAGTTGCAAACATAGCCGCGGGCACCCACAGTCTGTAGCCTGCAATGAAGCCCACAGTCTGTGTGCAAGATGCAGTGGCGCCACCCTGCCTTTTGACAAGGATCACTCCCAACGACGCATTTGGCGTGAAAGTGCACATAGCATTTGGGAAGAGCATGTCTGTACTTCCATTTGGATTCTATATCAACAGCTCCTCAGCATCAAAGACTTCAGCGGCCCGGCCTGACCAACTGCTCGAATGGCAATGCTGGACTTTTGACGACGCATATTCTAGAAACATGTTTCAATAATATCGCCAAATCCATGGCCCCCAGCGCAGCACTGCCGCAACACGTCAGATGGGGCCTACCTGGGGTCATGGCAGGTTTATGGCATACTTCCAGCTTTGGACATGCATGCTTTCCTTCTTGCTAAGAAAAGGGGATCAGGCGAACAGCCAGCCCTATCTGGCGAATTGGAAGTCAGGTGTTGGTTCCGTAAAAAGCCAATGGATCCATTAGCTTGCGGAGTGCCGTGGCTAGCAATGTTTGAAGCATTTGGAAGGTTCACTTGTGACACTTCTCCACTCATTTGGAAATACCATAAGAACGCCAAAGACGCGCCCCACGCCAAGCAGCGCCTTGCATGCCTTGCCTGAGGCCTAGGCGCCTGCGAGTGGGGATCAAGGGCAACGAGCCCTTTCTGAACGAGCATTCATTTGGTCTTGCCGGGGCGCAAGGACGTGTGTATGGCTGACAGAGAGTTTAACTGCGCCACAAAGACTGCAACGCTAGTTGTTTCTGCCAACGGCAACGGTGCATCATCACATCGGCTGAGGAGGTAGTCGGGGAGAAGGCAGGCAGCTTAAACAAAGATAGTTGGAAGTGGGGAGATAAGTACATGGGCACTGTCATGCTTGTGCTTCACCTCCTTCTTCCTCTTTCTCTTCTTTTGCTCCTCCTTTTCCTCCTCCTCCTCCTCCTCCTTCTCCTCCTCCTCCTCCTCCTCACGCTCCTCCCCCTTCCTCTCCCACCACCACCACCACCAGCAGCACCAGCACCAGCCCCAGCACCAGCACTAGCCCCAGCACCAGCACTAGCACCAGCACCAGCACCAGCACTACCAGCACCAAGAGCACCACCAGCACCACCAGCACCAGCGCCAGCACCAGCACCAGCACCAGCACCACCAGCACCAAGAGGACCACCAGCACCAGCACCACCACCACCACCACCACCACCACCACCAGCACCAGCAGCACCGCCGCCGCCGCCATCAGCAGCATCAGCAGCAGCAGCAGCTGCTGCTGTGGAATTAAAGTGTTTGCTACAAACATATGCTATGTTCCAAGAACCGCAACCAGGGCAGTAGACCCGTAGTCATGTATGTCAATGTTCTGATACTTTCACAGGCCCAGAATACGGCTGCACTATCTCGTGATGATATCCCGATGCTGTGTGAAAGGGACGCTGGCTACGCTCCCAGGT